ATTATAAAAAGAAATTATAATTCATCAATAAATAAAAAATACAAAATATTCAACATCAAAAATATATTACACAAATTTTAATTTAACATAAAAATACATTTATTAATACTCATTATACAAAAATATATTTGAAAAAAAAATTATACAAAAATATATCATTAATCTATATATATAATTGTTGGCTAATAGCATTTAATAAAACATTTAATAAAATCTCATTTCGATTTCCCTCCAAAAACCGTTACAGACTTTATCATTTATATCTCTCTCTCTATATTTAATTACTAATAATAAATTTAATAATATTGATTATTGTTTACCATCTTTTTATGTTACAATCTTCTATTATTATTATTATTATTATTATTATTATTATTATTATTATTATTATTATTATTATTATTATTATTATTAATCCACCATATCTAATTAATGCTAAACTATTTCATTACACTTTTTTTAGGGTTAATTAAGACAAAAACTGTTACATTTTATACTAACGAAGTAATTATTATTTCATTACACTTTTTATTATATCATATAATAGTTATTATTAAAACTAGTAACTATAATTTAAACTAAATGATATATGAAAGTTACATAAACATAAAAAATTATTGTAAACTTTTTGATGAAGTTATTTATTCTAAAATTAATATTACGTTTTTTATTTTATTTAGCGATTGTATTTTTAAATAAGTTAATTTATTTTAATGTTATAATAAAATTTCTTAAAATCGCATAATGAAATGTTATAATAGATTTGATATTTTCAACCTAATAAATTGGCGATCTCTCAAAATTACATTATTTATTATATTTTATATAATTAATATAGCACTTCATATGCAATCAAATAGTTATGCACTATTTATTTTAACCAATGATCAAATTTTAAAACATAAATCATTATTTAATTTATATTTTTATTATTATATGCATAAATATAACTTATAATACTCCATGTTTAAAATATAATATTATTGTATAACTTATAATTTTAATACTATATGTATAAATATAAGTTATAATATTCTATTTACAGTGTGCAAATGCACATGGTCGTATACTAGTATTACATTATATTACATTAAAAATACATAAAAAAAATGTAGAGCTGTGAACAGTATAGCTCTACAATTGGTGCAACACTGTTCACAGTAGTGAAGTAGCGCTTTTCAATCTAGAGCAGGGGTGGAGCATACTCTGGCGTTACTTTTGGGAGATAGAGTAGGACTGGAAAAGCTCTAAGTGTGGTAATTGGAAAAAGAAAAAAGAAAAAAAAAAAGAAATTACTTAATCCGGTCAAAACCGATTAAAACCAGTTATGATCCATATCTAACCATGCACCGGTTGACTTGACCCTGACAAAGACAGGTAGTGCTATGAAACCAACAATTAGCTCCATAGTGGAGCCAACTGTTGGCTTCATAGCAAAACGGCTGACAAATAAATATTTCAGCATCGTCATTGGCTTCATTAATTTCAAAGTAAATGACTACATTCCATTTCAAACTACACATTTCCTTACATAAACATAAGACCTAGCCAAATACACAAACACCACACACGAGCAGGCGCTCAGCCCAGCCAGCAGCCAGTAGAAGTAGTCCAGGTGGGCCCGGTTCAAATTGCTCGAGAACCAACTCTGGTGGGCCCAACCACGACTCCCCCCGGTCAACCCATCAATAACTGACACGATAAACCCGCTCAGAAAGCTACCTGTCCCAAGCACACCAAGTGAAATGGCGAGCCCCATGCTTTTCAGATCGCCCGGGATTTGGTCGTACACAAACTCCTGAAGCCCGACGAGTGTGAACACGTCAGCAATCCCCAGGACAAGGTACTGTGGGGCCAGCCACAAAACATTCATGGGAACTGTTTTCCCAGGCGAGTCGACTAGCCCGTGCTCAAGCGCGACTTTCAACCGCTTGCTCTCGACAAAACCTGCAACAGTCATCGAGATTACGGACAAAAATACTCCTGTCCCGACTCTCTGGAGCAGGGATATGCCGGTTGGTTTTCGGGTCACGGCTCGGGCAACCGGGACAAGAACCCGCTCGTAAATCGGGATGAAGAGGACGAGGGAGGCGGCTGTGAAGGACTGGAGGGAGGCGGCCGGCAGCTGGAAGCTGGCGGTGATGTGGCGGTCCATGGTGGCTCCTTGCTTGGTGAAGAAGGTCGTGGATTGGGAGTACACGGTGGAGTACACGAGGCACGTGAGGCATATCGGGAGAAGTTTAAGGATAGTTTTTGCATCCTCGATGTCTTTCGAATTGTTGGGTTCGAGCAGGCCTTTTTCCACAAACCTAAGCAGTGATTTGAGTTGTCACTAGAGTGAAAATCACCAAAAACACTAACCTCGACGAGGTTAATGAAAATTACGACTACACAACCGGATAATTTTATAAATTTACAATAGCCCTCCTCTGGTTTTTTATTATGTCGGAACATATGGTGTATAATTCTGATATTTTGCGAATTGAAGGCTTCAGGAAGGAGAAAAGGTGTGAACATAATCAAACCTGAAGGGTTCTTTTTCTGATTTTCAAAAAATCTGGGTTTTTTCTGCAATTACTATGAATTCCGGATGTAGTTTTTGCATTTCACCTAAGAAATTATTGATCCTCAATAAATAGAAAGAAGATCGACTTACTCATAACAAGAATCCACTTTGACGGATAGAACTGCATTGTTGTTCCTCACCCTCCAATTTCTAGCCAGCTCGACAAAAACACGACCGATTCTCAAAAACGGGTTCCTCTGATCACCGGACAATTGAAAACGATAGGTAAATGAACCAAGGGCAAACACGATAAGCGCAAGGCACATGACGATGCATGGAATCCCAAACCCGAGTTCCCAACTCATGTTGTCCTGAATGTAAGTCAAGACGAGGAGGCCAACCAATACACTGGCGCACAGGCAAAAATTCCACCAGTTGAAAAACGAGCTCTTGGCTTTGCGCTCGTCCTGATCATTGTCGTCAAATTGTTCGGCCCCGAAAGCTTGCAGGCAGGGCTTGTGCCCACCTTGGGCTAATGCGACCAGGTACAATGAAGAGAAGAAGAAGATTATCTGAAGCTGAGGGGGAGAATGTGTTTTGTCTGAGTGTTGAAGAGCGGCTGATAGAGACAAGAAACCGAGTCCCTGAAATTGCATGGTGATAGTCATTTCAGCGGAACTGGTAATTAACCAGATGACAAATAGCATTTCGTAATCTTGAACAAGAGTTTCTTTTCAGCTTCATTAATACTTTCCACATTGCTTTTTAACCTAAAATCTTATGTTGCTTATTTTTCAAACGATCCATTCGCTCCAACATGTTATTGGAGCTTTTCTACAACAAACTAGACTAATTATAGCACATAATCATATATGATTCGTTCACCACAATTAAATCTTGATAGAATCACAGTGCGACCATCTCACATTCACCAGATCAGAAAAACCTTGACCTTAATAGAATCGCCACAACAATAGTGAAAAGATCCTATGTAAGTGTCACGTGCGGTGGCCGATATACCTTCCCATTCGTTCATCAGTCAAGCTCCATTTTGGTATCATTCTACAGTGTAAATCATTGACATTGCAAAGAAATGTAGAATTTACCATAAAAAAATACCAAAGTCCCATCTCTAATGACTCGATTTTGCCAAATACATATCAATCAAAAGAGGCATTGTTAAGAAAGATATTTTAAACTGACCAGGATGTAGAGCAGAGATGCAAAGATGATCGTCCGATATTTCCCCAAATAAGAGTCGGCGATAAAAGCGCCCAGCAGCGGAGAGAGAAACGCCGTGCCGGACCACGCGTTCACGTTCGCCGCAGCCCTGGCGGTGGATTGGCCCAACGGGCCGGTCAAGTAGGTCACCAGATTCGCACTTATGCCGTAGTAAGCAAATCTCTCGGCCATCTCAACACCTAACAAAATTTCATAAACCAATAAAACCCCCCAAAAAGGAGAGATCTATCTTGCTCAAAGGAAGTAGTACATACACTATATCCCATTGTCAACAGATATGGCGGTCGGTACCTATGATGAAAGAAGAGGACTTCCAGCAGCCGGATTTCGATCGGACGGCGGGCCGGCCGCGGAAGTCGACGGAGCTAGGGACGACGTCGTTTAGCAATGGAGCTTCGGCGTCTGATATGACGTCACTACCGGTGGCTGTAATTGTACGCGCGGCCATTTGTTAGTATCTGCCTAATTTGATGTTTGTGAAATAGTAAGGTACAATACATATTCTATTGATTATGAAAAAAATGCATAAAGGTAGAAGAAAGCAGAGCAGGTCATTGGAGGTGGGAACAGTATGACGTCACGTCGTCTTCAACGATGGTGCCCGCTGGTTTCACGTGGAATTGTTTTAACAATTCTGGAAAAGGACTCGGCATTGATGTTGATGTATTTATTAGGAAAATTTATTAAACTTTGCCCTTTAGAACAGAGTTGGAAAACGGCAAATAATTAGGTGTGCCCTGGCACACCTTGCTAGCCTGTTACGTGTGCCAGGGTAGAGAGTGAACACACGTAAAGAAAAAGAGAGTGACTTTAAATTAAAATTGTTGTCCAATTTATTCTAGCCCACGCACAGATAGAGGACAAGGTAAGTATTGTTTAAATGACATGTGTCTTATTTTTATAGGTTAATGAATTTTATATATCATATTAAATAAATTAAATTATCAACTATATTTTATATTAAAAAATAAAAATAAAAATATCAAAATTCATAATATTTCATTCTCTACAAATAGATACCACATTTCATAGATTTTGGAATACAATTAATTTATTATTTTTTATATTAATTTATGTTATTAGAATATGATGACGCAAATCTATAATAAAATGAACATGTTACATATTAAGATGAACATGTTATATAATAAGATGAACATGTTATAGAATAAGATGAAAATGTTACATATTTACAAAATAAGGTGAACATGTTGTAAAATAAGATGGATATGTTACATAATGAAATGAACATGTTATAAAATAAGAAGAACATGTATAAAATAAATAAATAAATAAAAATAAAATAACAAGATGAACATGTTACATATTTACACAATAAGGTGAACGTATTACAAAATGAGATGGACATGTTATAAAATACGATGAACATGTTACATAGTAAGATGGACATGTTATATAATAAGATGAACATGTTACATAGTAAGAAGAACATGTTATATAGTAAGAATGTAAGATGAATATGTTATATAATATGATGAAAATGTTACATATTTACAAAATAAGGTGAACATGTTATAAAATAAGATGGATATGTTACAAAATGAGTAAGATGAACATATTATATAGTAAGATGAACATGTTATAGAATAAGATAAACATGTTACATATTTACACAATAAGACGAACATGTTACAAAATAAGATGGATATGTTACAAAATGAGATGAACATGCTATAAAATAAGATGAACATGTTACATAATGAGATGAACATGTTACATAGTAAGATGAACATGTTATATAGTAAGATGAATATGTTATAGAATAAAATGAAAAATGTTACATATTTACAAAATAAGGTGAACATTTTTGGGAGGTTTGGATGGCATGAGGTGGAGACTTACATCTTCGGGTGCATTCTCTACGTCATCAGCCTGGGGAGA